GTCAACTTTGATGTAGAAGGACTAGTGGCGATTCCACAAGGTTCCATGGCTGTAGTTGGCTTCTATTCAAAAGCATTCACGATGCCGCTCCCAGTTCCCCGTTACTGCTTCTTTGTTTCTTAGGGTTACCCAAAGAGCCAGACCGTTACTCTGAATGTTCTAAGTGACTAATCCTTTAGCCTGACTATTTAAACTGGAGCAAGGAAATAATCCTTTCTCCACCCACCAGTTAAAATGCATTTTATGAAACTTTTGTGGTCTTATTTCGGTTGGAGAAGGAAGACATACGGTAACCATCAGAGGGGCCTTGCTTAAAAAGCATTCCAAAATCTTTCGCTGTCTGCAATCTCCATTTCAAAATTCCAGAACCCTTCACTTTCAAACCCTGAATTTATGCTCTCTGCGCAGACAAACTCCAACTTGCTTTATGCATCTACTCATTCTTAACTTTTCTTATTTCCTCACCCAGCACTACTCTTTCTTTCTTCTACTTGCTTCATTCCTCTAGTGAACCCCTTTTTGGTTCTTTAGTGGTTACGAATGCACATTTCTTTAAGGGCTTTTGGCCAATTGGAATCGGTTCCAATCACAAGTTTTTCTTTTTTCTGGAAGCACTTTGGGACTCTCCTTCAATCTGGGATCCCTAATCAGGACTTACTTGGTGCCCTCAGGCTGGTTGTTTAAAAGCAGTAAACAGAAGGGTAAATGAACCCCAATTCTACCCACTTTTATTCTTTTATGAGGATGGTCTGAAATTTCCTTATTCTATCTTCTAATAATAAAAATTCCTTCCTATGATAAACTTCTTAAGTACAGTTTTTAAGTATGCCTTTATTCTATAGCAGGAGTGGGGAGCCTGCAGCCTCGAGGCCACATGTGGCCTTCTAGGTCTTTGGATGTGGCCTTTTGACTGAATCCAAGTTTTACAGAATAGATCCTTTTATTAAGGGAATTTATTCTATGAAGTTTGGATTCAGTCAAAGGACGGTGCTTGAGGACCTAGAGGACCACATGTGGCCTTGAGGCCGAAGGTTCCCCACCCCTGGTCTACACTAAAATGAAAACCCATTTCAGAGAGTGATACGGCCAAACTTCACACATGGAGGTTGGCTAGCTGAAACTTCTTCGGGCTCAGCAGGTGGCTTTCCTTTTTAAATTCTGAGCTGTGGAATTATTTAAACTCACAAGACATTTGATCTAATTTCTCCTGTACTGTTTCCTGAGTTTTTCTTATTTTAACACTTCCCTGAATTCCTGAATTTCACCGAATCTCTCCTGATCACATCTCGTGACAAATAAAACAGTTCTTAAAATGCAAACTTCAGCTTTAAATCAGTCCCTAGTGATTTTAAAGGTCGCTTCTAAGGAATAACTGATCTGTGAATTTTGTTGTTTTTCTGTTTTCATTAAACTCTACAGAGTTTGCTAGTACTCCATAAGCTCATTAAGATACTTTATTAAAGACATCCAAATTATAATTTAGAAGTGAAAGAAATAACTATTCCCTTTTCATAAATTTGATTTCTAATCCTTTTTTTTTTTTCTGTCTTAGTTTTTGATTAATTTCTGTGGCTTTCCTCTCAGCAATCTCCCGCCGTGGTCATTGTTGCCAGTTTTTTTCCTTTTTTTTTTTTTTTTTTTTTAGGCAGTTGGGGGTTAAGTGACTTGCCCAGGGTCACACAGCTAGTAGGTGTTATGTGTCTGAGGCCGGATTTGAACTCAGGTCCTCCTGAATCCAGGGCCAGTGCTCTATCCATTGCGCCATCTAGATGCCCTTTATTTCCTTATTTTTTAAATAGCCTCTTTCTTGTGGTCGATGACATGAAAGAGGAGGCATAGATAAAACACCTGTTGGCAGTGGGTTGGCACAAAGCATCAGTAGCACAGCCGAAAACACACACGTTTCCCATTCTCTTAAAAATGTTCCTGATAGTATAAGGTCCCTTTCCATCTAAAGTAAAGAACCCAGTATTCCTTAACTTTTTTTCATCATTTACAAAGTAGACACACAGAGAACATAGAACAAGACACAACGTTAAATCAGGCCTGAACTTCTAAGTAATCAAAAGTTCTGTGCTTTGACCAAAACAATCCCTTGACCCTTTGCATTCTCCACCCAGACTTTACACCGCTGAATAGCTCTTTCTTCTATTTTTTTAATTATTAATACATTTATTTATTTTTAGTTTTCAACATTTACTTCCACAAGATTTTTGGTTCCAAATTTTCACCCCATCTTGCCCCTCCCCCCACCCCAAGATGGCATGCATTCTGAATACCCCTTCCCCAAGTCTGCCTTCCCTTCTATCTCTCCACCCCTGCTCTTATCCCCTTCCCCTTCAATTTTCCTGTAGGGCAGGATGGATTTCTGTACCCCTTTCCCTGTATTTCTTATTTCCCAGTTGCATGTGAAAAGTTTTTTTTAAACATGTGTTTTTAAAATTTGGGTTCCAAATTTTCTCCCTTTCTCCCTCCCCACCCACCCTCATTGAAAAGGCAAGCAACTCAATATAGGTTATACATGTGCAGTCATGCAAAACATTTCCATAGTAGACATGCTGTGAAAAACTAACTCTATTTCCCTTAATCCTATCCTGCCCCCCCTTTTATTCTATTCTTTCTTTTGACCCTGTCTCTCCTCGGAAGTGTTTCCTTCTGATTACCCCCTTTCCCAATATGCCCTCTCTCTATTATTCCCCTGCTCTCTTGTCCCCTTCTCAACCTATTTTCCTGTAGGGTAAGACAGATTTCCATACCCAATTGAGTGTGTATGTTATTCCTTCCTTAAATCAAATCCTATGAGAATAAGATTCACTTTTTCCCTCTCACCTTCCCCATTTCCCCTCCACTGTAAGAGCCTTTTTATTTCTGTTTTGTTTTTTTTTTTTTGTGAGATGGTTTACCCCGTTCTACCTCTCCTCCTTCTCCTAGTATAATCCTCTCTCACCCTTTAATTTTTTTTCTCCAGATATGACCCCTTCATCTTCAACTCATCTTCAACTGCCTTCTATCTACCTATCTATCTATCTATCTATCTTGAATAGCTTTTTCTTTAGTCATCCCTGGACAGGGAGGCCATCCTTGTCCCAGTGAGGATCCTGTAGGATGCAGCTCTCCTCTTACTCCTGCTTCCATCTCTCCTGCGGGCATCCTCTGATATGCAGAGATTTGTTCTGGCAAATTCTCCAATACTTCTGATTCTTAATTTTTGGATTCAACCTCTGGGGTCCTGAGACTGGTCAGCTAGGGCCTATAGGTCCTTTTTAAGTGAGTATTGAGCAAAATTTATACCTACTTTCCTCTGATTGTCAATAGTTGACTTAATCCTAAGCAAATATAAGTGAAAACAAACTTTTCCTTCCTTCCTTCCTTGTAAAGCTAAAATAGCCGCCTTCTCCGGTCAGAAGAGGGTGGGATTGCTCCCAGAATGGTCACTGCCTTGACAGCTTACTGTTGAGGTTGGGAATCTCTCCTTTAAGGCTCCAGAAGTTTCCCCTCAACCAGTTTAAGAGATTTTTCTACTACTAATTTAATTACTCCTTGTTAAAAGAATTTAAAGGCAAAGAATCTGTTTTAACCCTCCCAACAGGAAGATTTAAAATTAGCTAGGTGGCTGTCTGACTGAAAACGAGGAACGAGCAGTTCCAATGCTGAATCTCCCTCGTCTTAACAAAATGAAAGTAAGAAAAACAGTGGGGAAAAAAAACCCACACTAGCCTGTGTTTAAAAAGTTAAAATTATGGCCCATTTGTATAAAAAATTAGAATTTGAGTGCTCCAGAGCTGATCAATTTAGACAGATTAGTCACAAATGCAAACCGTCCCTCTTGGCCCAATCAGGGACCCTTCTTAAAGAAAATGAATTTAGGGTAAATCGAGGCATCCCATCATATCAAATTGGTTACTACTGATTGGAATGGAGTTGGGGTCCTCGCTGAATCAGCTTCCTCACGGCCCTTCATCCCTTGAGCTGTCTGCCACTTGGCAGGAGGCAGTAGCTGGGAAAATTGGAAATGTGAGATCTTTCCTTTGTGGCTTGTAGATGAAGAGGACATGGAGACAGACACAAGATCGTCCCTGGGGGTCTCGGCTTCTGAGACCGAGGAAGACACAGCGTCTTTATCTAAGAAGGAGGTATGTGACCGCGCCGGCCGCAGAGCTCGTCTCCTGGAGGGGCGGGGGACTGTTGGCCTGCCTTGGGCAGCTGACCAGGGAGCTCAGCGTTGGCTGGAGGAGAAAGCTGGCAGGAGGGGCGCGGTCCTCAAGGCCCCAGGGAAGGATTGAGGGACTGCGGTTTGACTCGGCTCTTTTTGGCTTCCATCCGCCATAGAAAAACCGAAAGCGACGGAACCGCAAGAAAAAGAAGAAGCCCCAGCGTTCGGCGTCAAACCGTGCCACCGCCTCTGGGAGTCCAGGGGGCCGCGAGAAAGAGGCGTCGCGCTCCCGAGGCGCGGACTCACCTGCTGCTGCGGTCGAGATTGAGTATGTGACGGAGGAGCCCGAGATCTACGAGCCCAACTTTATCTTCTTTAAAAGGATCTTTGAAGCTTTCAAGGTGCGGTGAACGTATGTAGCCCGAGAGGAAATCGGGGCCGGTGGGAGAGGGAGATGGTGGTCAGGGGAGTGTGTGCGTCTGCTTTGCCCAACAGCTGACTGATGATGTGAAGAAAGAGAAGGAGAAGGAGCCGGAGAAATTGGACAAGCTGGAAAACCCTGCGGCCCCCAAGAAGAAGGGTTTTGAGGAGGAGCGAAAGGACAGCGACGACGACGACAGCAGCGACGACGAGCGGGTGAGGGGCGGGGGGGGGGGGGGGCTGGGGCGCGGGGGCGCCGGGCCGGGGGGGCGGGGGCAGGGCAGCGGCTTCAGGCCCGTGGCTCACCCTTTCTAGGAGAAGAAACCCGAGGCTCCCAAACTCTCCAAGAAGAAATTGCGGAGGATGAACCGGTTTACTGTAGCTGAACTGAAACAGGTGAGGCTGGGATGGTGGCCTGGCCTGGCCTGGGCGGGGCAGGGCGGGGGAGGGATCCCGTGGTCCCTGGAGGGGCCTTTGGAGCTAATGCGTCCTCCCTGCACGGACCTTCCAGCTGGTGGCACGGCCAGATGTGGTGGAGATGCACGACGTGACGGCCCAGGACCCCAAGCTTTTGGTGCACCTGAAGGCCACGAGGAACTCGGTGCCAGTGCCGCGCCACTGGTGCTTTAAGCGCAAATACCTGCAGGGCAAGCGGGGGATTGAGAAGCCACCTTTTGAATTGCCAGACTTTATCAAACGGACAGGAATTCAGGAGATGCGTGAGGCTCTGCAGGAGAAGGTGAGAGCTGCTGGTTTTCTGCAGGAAGTCCTACCCCCCCCCACCCCCCGGGGTCTTGGCACATGGCTGACTGATAGGGGGATCTCTGGTCCCCATCAGCTCTCCACTTGGAGACCACCAGGATTGGTTGTGAAGAACCCTGCTTTCCTTTTTGACCTCTCTTCTAACCTTCCGTTTGGGGGGAGCAAAGAGCCACCTCACGTGTTGTCCCCTGGCTATAAGCATGATGGGAAATGGAGGGACACTTAGTTCACTGCAGGCAGGACCAGGCTTACGTCTCACAAAGCCCTCCCCGGTTTCCACACCCCCATCTCTTTCCTCCAGTATGCCCCCAGTAAGGTTGCTAAGATGACTGATTTGGGGCATTTGCTTTGGCCTTTCTCTGATGAGTCGTGGATGCGGAAAGGCTTTGGGAGGGGGCTGCGTAAGTGGGTGGAGTTCCTCTCTCTCTTTGCTTGGGCACACCCCCACCTGTGGTGCCCCACAGCGCTCCTGCCCAGCCCCTGCTCTCCTCCCTCTCTGACCGCTCCTCCTCTGTCTGCTTTGCTGGGCCCTCCAGAGCCTGCCCTCATGGCTTATCCCAGCCCCTGCTCTCCTCCATCTAGGCCGCTTGACGGGGCCACCTCATCAGCGCCCGTGGATAGAATGGCCGTCCTGGTGTTGAGGCTTCTCCCATCTGCCTTCCCATCCCTACCTCTCTGCTCATGTCTTACACTCGGCTCAGTCCTGAGCTGAACTCATTTTTCCCCCAAACCTTCCCAGCTTCCTAACTTCCTGATCACTGTTGAAGGCCCCACTGTCCTTCTAGTCGCAAGCACTGTGTCATCCTTGAACTTCTCTCTTTCTCACCACTTCGTCATAAGGCCTGGAGATTTACCTTCAGAACCTCTCTCTCAGACCCCCTTCTCCTCTGACCTTGCCATTGCCCAGGCCCCCATCTCCTCATGCTTGGACCATGGCAGTAGCCTGGGTGGGTGGGTGGGGGGTGGGGGGTGGGGGGGCCCTGCCTGCCTGCCTGCCTGCCTCAGGTCTCTCCCCGACTCTGACCGTATCCTCCCCCACCTCACCCCCTTTTCTAGTCATTGCCCCCACCCGTATTCTCCGTGATCCAGGGACTGGCCTCCTAGCTGTGTCTCCGACGGGACACTCCCTCTTCCCTGTAGCTGGGCAGTTTCTCCCTCGTCCTCTCTGTCTCCTGGCTTCCCTGAAGTCCCAGCTGAAATCCTACCTCCTGCAGGAAACCTTTCCCGATTCTTTAATCCTGCAGCTTTCTCTCTGTTGATTATTTCCAGTAGATCTCATTTGTCCACAACTGTGTGTTGCATGTTGTCTTCCGCGTTAGATTGTGGGGTCCTCTGTGTGCGTCCACAGTGCCCAGCACCGTGCCGGGCCCATAGGACATGCTTAATAAACAGTTATTGACTGATCTATCACGAAGAGCCAGGCACGGGACGGGCTGGCCTTTTACGTGCTCTGATGAGCTTATGTGAGTGAGTAGCCAGCCCCTGTGCTGTTTGACTTCTGACTCTTCATCCAACAGGAGGAACAGAAAACCATGAAGTCCAAAATGCGAGAGAAGGTCCGACCCAAGATGGGCAAGATTGACATTGACTACCAGAAACTACACGATGCCTTCTTCAAATGGCAGACCAAGCCGAAGCTGACGATTCACGGGGATCTTTACTATGAGGTGCGCCGGGCAAGCTGCCAAAGTGAGAGGCCATGGCGGCCCCACGCGTCCTGAAGGCCTCAGGACCTCCGCCCCGCCATCCCTTCAAATGGGTTTTTAGGAAGGGAGGGCAGATGTTACATTTGAAGGGGTGATGTTTTTAGCTTGAAGTCTTTGGGGACGGGATTCGGGAGGCGGGTTTTTTAGAACAAACATTGGATTTTGGGGGTAAGGGAAGGTGATTTAAGTTCTCCTTGGTCCTTGGAATATATTTGAGAATCATCTCTGGTCCTTGGCAGGCCTCCCTTCCCTTCTTTTTTTCAGGCTTTCCCTTTTTTTAGACGAGCAGAAATGATTAGTGAGTATAATCTGCAAATAAAACCAGCCAGCCCTGTTTCGTCCAGTTCCCCTTCAGTGGAACCCTGTATCCAATGCAGACAGTCATTTCTCTTTCTCTTTCCCACGATCTCTCTCCCTCAAATGCCTTAATGCTTGCTGTGTTAGGGGGTTCTGATACTTTTTTCTTTACCCTCAGGGGAAAGAGTTCGAGACTCGGTTGAAGGAGAAGAAGCCAGGAGATTTGTCTGACGAGTTGAGGATTTCCTTGGGGATGCCAGTTGGACCAGTGAGTGCTGGAGAAGTGAAGGATGGGCCAGACGGGGGTCTGTGCTGTGGGGCGGGCTGGGGAGGGAAACCGGGGGTAGGGTTCTCACGGCTGTCTCTTGTCCTCAGAACGCCCACAAAGTTCCTCCCCCCTGGCTGATTGCTATGCAGCGTTATGGACCTCCCCCTTCCTACCCCAACCTGAAGATCCCCGGTCTGAATTCTCCCATTCCTGAGGTGATGCACGTGCTTCTTTCTTTCTCAACTCATTTGAGTTATTAAAAGCCCTATGCAAGGGACTGGGGTACACAGACAAAAACCAGACCAGGCCCTGCCCTCAAGGAGCTTCTCTTCTAATCTTCCTCTATAACAAAATGTGTACTTATCTGAGTGCTGGGTGGGTCCCTTCTGGCACAAACTCGGAGGGTTTTCTGAACTCTCCCTCTGCTTTACGTGGGAGGTGACTGTTCCATGCTTGTGTGTCTTCATTCTTTGGGAGCGCCAGGAGAGGGGGCGAACTAACTCCCCTTCCCTCCTCTCCCTCCCTCCCTCAGAGCTGTTCCTTTGGTTACCACGCGGGGGGCTGGGGCAAACCTCCCGTGGATGAGACTGGGAAACCGCTCTACGGAGACGTGTTCGGAACCAACGCAGCAGAATTCCAGGTACGGCCACACGCATAGCTTAGTTCGCCTGTTGGTGCCCCATGAGTGACTCTGCAGGCAGAGCCCCTGATTGGACCCACTGGTCTGGGGCTAATCGAGACCCTCCGTCTGATTTAGTAAAGCATGGTTGAGAAGTTTGCTTGACGCGCTCCTAAAACACCATTACCAGGGCAGCTAGGTGGCGCCGTGGATAGAGCTCCGGCCCTGAAGGCCCTGAAGTCAGGAGGACCGGCCTCTAGCTGTGTGACCCTGGGCAAGTCACTTAACCCCAATTGCCTTTAAAAAAAAAAAACCAAAAAACACCATTACCTTTGACTAATAATCACGCTTTTTGGGGCAGCTAGGTGGCGCAGTAGATAGAGCATTGGCCCTGGAGTCAGGAGGACCTGAGTTCAAATCAGGCCTCAGACACATGACACTCACCAGCTATGTGACTCTGGGCAAGTCACTTAACCCCAATTGCCTCACCAAAAAAAAATAATAATCACGCTTTTATCAGGGGCATATGTGAGGCCAGGCACCGTACCTTCAAAAGCGAGCAGATGCCCTACTTTTTTTCCTTCGTGTCTGCCATGTTTGCAGCATCTTGGGCGTCATTTCAGCTCTTCCTTCATTCTTTCTACTGATGGCAGTTTCCTTTGGTTGGTGAACTGCCTCGAGTTCATTGGACAGACACGTTGCCTCCAGGGTTTTTTTGATTTTTTTGCTGTTCTGACTGTATTCCCTTTGTGGCATTCCCCACCGAGGGATCACTCCTGGCAGATGCATTGTGTCCCTCGTCACGTGAGGCTGTGCTTGTCTGCGATGCCACCCCATCCGCGTCTGCCTAGCTCCCAGAGTGGGGCTCTGGGGTTTCTGGGAGCCTGTTGGAGGCCGGAGAGCAGTTAGGTTCTTCTGCCCTGAGGCCCTTCAGTCTTTGTTTCAGACTAAGACAGAGGAAGAGGAGATCGATCGAACGCCTTGGGGGGAGCTGGAGCCTTCAGACGAGGAGTCCTCAGAGGAGGAGGAGGAGGAGGAGAGTGATGAAGATAAGCCCGATGAAACGGGCTTCATCACCCCCGCAGATAGGTACTGAAAGTGGCGCCTCCTTTCCAAGCGGCGTGTGTCTGCTTTCTCGGCTCTCTGCTCACGCTGTTCCTTGTTCCTTTCCTCAGTGGTCTCATCACCCCTGGAGGCTTCTCGTCAGTCCCAGCTGGGATGGAGACGCCTGAACTCATCGAACTAAGAAAAAAGAAGATTGAAGAGGCCATGGATGGGTGAGCAACCATCCACATGGGGCTGGGCCGGGCTTTACCAGGAGGGGAGACACCTTCCGTTCAAGCCCTGGGTGGGCGGCCGGGTGGCCGGGCGGCCTGTCAAACTGGAAATAAGAATGGGTACTTGTAGAGCGCCTGTGAAGCACCACCCCAGGACTGAGGCACTGAGACAGAGGGAGGAGAACGCACGCGGTGCCCCCTCGCTGCCTCTCACTTGACTGTAGAAGGCTGTTGAGAATTAGGCACCTGGGCCAGTCTTTATGTTGAAAACTTCCAGCCTCGGGCTAGGAGGCCCTTGCTTCCTTACACCTTTCTCCCAGAGGCCTTGGCCCTCCCTTGGGCTGACCCTCCTTCCCCTCCATCCTCCCTGCAGCAGCGAGACCCCCCAGCTGTTTACTGTGCTGCCTGAGAAGAGAACAGCCACGGTGGGAGGCGCCATGATGGGTTCCACCCATATTTATGACATGTCTACGGTGAGCATTTGGGCCTGGTGGGGAGGCCAAGGGGAGGCCGGCTGCTGGGGCTGGGCTCGGTTTTGACGGCCTGTCCTGCAGGTGATGAGCCGGAAGGGCCCCGCCCCTGAACTGCAAGGTGTGGAAGTGGCCTTGGCCCCCGAGGAGCTGGAGCTGGATCCCATGGCTATGACCCAGAAATACGAGGAGCACGTGCGGGAGCAGCAGGCCCAGGTGGAGAAGGAAGACTTCAGCGACATGGTGGCCGAACATGCTGCCAAGCAGAAGGTGGGAAGGGCCCTTTCCGCGGGTGGTGGGCGTGCGCCCTCTGGTGGCGAGAAGGTGCACTCGGGCCCGGGTTGTGCTCTGGCCTGTGTTTGCGACAGCTTCCTTTCTCCCTTGTAGCAAAAGAAGCGGAAGGCTCAGCCCCAGGACAGCCGCGGGGGGAGCAAGAAGTACAAAGAATTCAAGTTTTAACCTGCGAGCCGTCGTGGTGGACCTTGCATTTGGTTCCTGGGGCCCAGAGCCCTCCCGATTTCAAGGACTCTTGTTCATTTCCATGTTCTTATTTCAGACCGGTTTTGTAAATAAAGCTCTTCCCTCCGAGGGAAAGGATGAGTAGAGACGCCGAGCTTGCGCTTGCATTTCCCTCGTCTTTACGTTCTCCTTTGAGGGAGCCGAGGAGGCGGGCTAAGAAAGTGATGGCCACAGGACTGGGCCTAGCCAGGCCTGACTGAGGCATCTCCCGCCTGCCTTTTGTCTGTGGCAGCAGACTCTCCAGCTGGGGTGGGGAGCCTTGAGGGCCAAGCAGGCCAACCCCTACTAAGGTGGAGGTGTGGGTGAGGAGGGCTCTAGGTGCAGGCTGGGCTCCAGCCCTTGGGGGGGGGGGACAGTGTGGCTCTAGGTACAGGCTGGGCTCCAGATCCTTGGGGGTGGGAGTCAGTGTGGCTCTAGGCAGATGCTGGGCTCCAGCCCTTGGGGGTAGGGGTCAGTGTGGCTCTAGGCAGGTGCTGGGCTCCAGATCCTTGGGGGTGGGGGTGTCAGAGTGGCTCTAGGCAGGTGCTGGGCTCCAGATCCTTGGGGGGGTCAGTGTGGCTCTAGGTACAGGCTGGGCTCCAGCCCTTGGGGTGGGGGACAGTGTGGCTCTAGGCAGATGCTGGGCTCCAGATGCTTGGGGGGGGTCACTGTGGGTCTAGGTACAGGCTGGGCTCCAGCCCTTGGGGTGGGGGACAGTGTGGCTCTAGG